GCATGACAGCACGAAGAGAAAGACGCCATGGAGATAACGGCAATCGCTCGCAGACGATCAGGCATGGGGACACAGACAACGGGCTGCTTTTTGTGTATCTAGGCTCCTTAGAAGCGTTTCATCCACTGTTTTGATGCCTCACCTTCAAAACGAGTGTGTAGGCCTCCTTTTGCTCATCTGTGGGCTCGCCAAGGTGAAGCGTGCGGGTAACGTCTGTAGTTCCTGTGAGGTACTGTCCTCCCGAGTCCAGCAAGAACACCGGGGATTCATTTTGAGCGGGAGGGTCCCCACCAGGGCCTCTTACTGTAACGCATAGTAAGCCTTGAGGCTCGGACATGCGGGCCTTAAGCTGCAGACTTGTCTCCGGGTCTGGCCTGAAAACGCCGAAGACGTAATTGGTAACAGTGCTCCTTACTGTTCCTGCTCCAGTAAAAGGGGAACCCGCAGGCACCTGTGAATGACGCATTCTCACCTGTAGTGGGCTAACGCACAATTGGAGCCGAAGCAAGATATCGATGCAAAGGAAGTACCCCTGAACAGATCAGACTTTCAGGGGGAACAAAAGGCGACACAAAAGAGCAAATGAATGCAATGAATGGAACTACGAGCGAAAATTAACGACATGCGCAGGTACACAGCCTCACAGGCAATTTCAAGTACGTATCTAAGCGGTAGGCATGCTCGTCGATAGCTTCTCCCATGTTGGGAAACAGCGGTCCAGAAGCAGCCGTCTCTGCACTTGACTGAAGCACTATTGGGACTTGGTTTTGATGCAGGTGTGTCAAGTGTTTACCATGGCTTCTCTGGATGCATCTACGGCTTCCTTCAGCGTCCATTCCGTCAGGCTGCATTCTTGTCCACCATGCTCCTGCTGCTGCGGCGGCGTCATTGTCGCTCTGGCATTGGCTAGCAGCTGTTTCTCAAACCAGCAGAAGAAAGTGGCCAGGGCCACCCCGTCATCCTCGTGAGCTTCGGCCATTCCTTTGAGTTCCTTCTCATCCTTAGCAGCCTAAAAATGCAAAAAAAAGGCACGACAGGAGTCCACACGAAGTTCTAGCTCAGAAGTGCAGCGGAGCTTCTGGTAGCACTACGAAGTTGGATATGTATACTATACACAATGCAGGGCCAACCCAGCATTTGTTTTCCCCATTGATTTAACCCTTTTTCATGTGCACAGGCCGTTGAATATACCACTATGGTGCAGGCTGCGCGTGTGTTAGTTTGTGTCCGCTTTGCAAACCTTAGCAACAGAGACAGGTGTGTCCTTAACGATAAGGCGTTTCGAGTCAGCCAGAATGCGGTGTATTGCCAAGTTTATTTTGGGATCCAGCCAAGCCGCTCGCCGCTCATCAAGGGCCCCTGTTATCTGCAGCTTCGATCTAGGCTCATGACGTGTTTCGTCGCCGCCAGCGAGAAGCCAATCAACAGCACCGAGCAGGCCCCCATGCGTCTGCTGCTGCAGATCCTCCGGCAACTGTTGGTGCTCTCGCTGCAGCAGCTGCTGCTGCTGCCTAAGATTCCAGGTAAGGAGGAGCTGTAGGTCACTGGCGAGGCTTTCATAAGGCCTTAACACAGCACCTTCGGTCTCCAGTTCCGCCTTGGCCGAAGAGGATACCCTGGTAGGGTCCGTGTACACCCTGAATCCGAAAACCAAGCAAGTCGTTTGGTACACTGAAGAATGGAACATTGCCGGCACAACGGAGTCTATACGGAAGTCTATTCTGCACAGAACTAGACAGATACACTACGCAGAGAGAATGGACACAGAAGAGGAAGGAAGCCGCTCACAGTAGGCGCCAGGGGCACGGCTTCGCACAGTGGGGATCTTCAGTAGAAGCTACATTGGGGCCTTTAGCCAATAAGGCGTAGGAATAAAAGACAGTGCTGTTTGGTGAATCTGATCCTCGCAGGTTCGTAAGCCACGCCACTTCGTCAAGACTCTGGCGTACATGAACGCATCACAATGCCTAGGGTCCAGCGCCTCGTCCCCTCACTTGTGTTCTCAAATGTTGGCGGCCCAGATCTACAGAATTTGACACAGCCCCATCCTACACAGTGTGCACCTTGGCTTCACGAGCCCTGGAACCCTCAGCAAACAGCCGGAACCCCTCTCCATAACAGTCCATGAAGACTCACCGAGAGCAGCAGAAGATCTGCGCCTTCCTTTGCCATCGTCTGGACCGTCCTGGCCACCTTTTCCCGCGTAGACAGTCCTGCGGACACGCTTCCAACGCTTATCCCAAAGCTTTCAGCCCTAACAGTATAAGGACGAAAGACTAACAATTTCTTCCGATCGTCCGGTTTCCATGACTGCAAATTCAAGCTGGGATCTAATGCATACATGCATGCGACTCTTTGGCTAAATCCTCTCTCACCCCTAAATTCCTTCGGATGCGCGTACACGGAGCTTGAGGGGAGGACTGGCCTCTGGACACCCCATATCTCATCCACAAGGTTTTGATCCAGAGGAATGATGTGCCTAACCGACGCGTCCTGGCTCCCCTGAGCCAGCACAAGGACACCAATTCCGGGTTCCCAGCATCGGTTTAGCGGAAAAAAGAATGGCGGTGTAAACTCTAGCTACCTGATGGGTTTGAGCCTCTCGCTGGACGTTGAAACCGGCCTCCTTTATCTGGCTAAGGAGTCCCAGTGAAGTCGTAAAAGCATCGACACCAAGACGTCGAACTGCACATCAAAACAACACTCAAAGCTGAAGCACCATCAACCAGTGCACCAACTTGGTTACCCGCTAGGCTTCCACGTTCCTAACAAGGCACAAACTAAATGCGTATGGTGTCTTCATTCGGCACAAGGCTATAGCGTTAATGCTCCATTTGCCTTTTTATTAATCAATTGTAATGGCAATCCCAGCTTCAACGGACAGACGAGGCATTTCTAGGGTCCCCAGGGTTTTGAGCTGACTTTTCGTTTCTTGTTTTAGGAACTGAGTTAGCGTTGGCGTGTTTCCGAAATCCGATTTCATGAGCTGCCATAATCCCACGGGCAGCTGCTGCTCTGCTTGGGAGAAGTACCTGACCCAAGCACAGCAAACTGTATATAATACCAAAGACATAGCGATGGAGGGACTCCACAGATACAAATTCAGGTGGGACAGAGCACGAAAGCAGCCAAATTGTGCTGTGCCTCGATCATTCGTATAATTGCGCATCTCTGCCTGTCTCTATACATATTTCCGCCTTTCTCGATATTCTGCCGTTACTCTCTCGCGTTCGTAAATCCTCGCTCTTCTTGTTGTGTTCTATGCCGAGGCTGGTGTCGGCAGAGAGTCGATTGCTCACATGAAAAGGTGTGCACAGCTACATGCATTGTCAAACGGTACACTGAAAAACGATGATGGAACTAGAACAAGACACAGATGCGCGGACAGAACAAATGCCAGCAAGACTCAGCAAGTGGTAGACGATAAAGAGAATACCCAAGGAGGCAAAGAGTAAACGGCGCTACAAAACAGAAACAAGCTAGACGATGCACCGCAGCTGGGACAAAAAAATACACGAAACTCGTCCAGCCGTCAAGGCACAGCAGGCTTTACAAGAGGCGGCAGCGGTTAGAGTAAGGGGTGAGACAAGCATCCTTACCTTCCGTCTGTCCAGAGGAATGCACTGTCTCTCGTTACAAGGGCCAATCCATTTGAGCCACTAAAATTAGACAAAAATGTCCTACGGGCAAAAGCTCTAGCTGGAATTTCGCTACCATGAGCATCCGCATCATCAACTATCAAGCCATCCAGCTGATGAGCCTGAAGAAGCAAGCGTAGAGCTCCCAGCCGCTCGGCTGCGGCAGCGTCGACCCCCCTAGACACCATCCTGCTGCTGTCGCTGCTGCTTGTCACGGCGTAGTGCAGGGACTTGGAAGAGAGGTAGGCAGCAAGAAAAGGATTAAAGGGAACAGGGAAACCTCCAGTGAGAGGGAAGGCAACGGAACTACTGGGAAAAAAGCAGCAACGAACTACAGACACACATAAAAAGACTCGGCCCCACGCGTGCCGCATTGGCAGCACGTCTTCTACGTACTACCAGTGCTGCACCTGGTGTTCCTGACGCTCTTCTTGATAATTCTAGCGGTTGAGTTGATAGATTTCGTGAAATCACAAAGATACACCTCTACCCGTCACCTGACAGCTGAGGGTGGGCGATGCTGATCGGAGTGTCTGCGGGTATATTCCTGACAATGCTGGAGACAATATAATCAGATAGGCAAGGAAACGAGGAAGACTCTTGTTTGGCGTTGCGTAAACCCTCAATTCGTCTGTGTGCATGGCTGGCTCAACCTTTGTGGATCATGCAGATTGAACAGGTGTGGATGTGAATGCGCATTACCTCAGCACCGTTATTTAGAGTCAACCTTCCTGCCGGCCCAATCTTCGTACATAACGGCGACGGAGTTCCTTAATTACAGAAGACCAAATCTCAGTCTATTTCTTTAGGCCACCCCGTTGCTACACCCCAGTGCATGCATTTGGGAAGCCGGCAGCAAGTCACTGCAGGAAGGCGGGCCCCAAGAGCCTGTGAGGGACAGCTCAGAAGTGGTCCCTCCTCTCATTTGGTTGTTTATCTGAGAAAAGTATACAGCTCTTTGTCTGAATGGCTTTATGCGTTTACGTTCCCTCTCCGGCTCTCCACTTCCACGCCATGAAGTGATGTCCGCACTACAGACCAACTGCATAACCGGGACCAAAGAAAGGGTCGCATTCGCCTTATCGCAAATGCCTGCAGCTGCAGAATGACCAGTACATTTGTCAGCCACTCCGCAAGATTCCCAGAAGCAGTAGCAAAGAGAGCAATACTGCGGCTCAGGCTCATGCGCTGCATTTTGCAGCGGCGAAGTATTGCAGCGAGTGTAAGACGAACAAGTTGAACAGCAGAAGAAAAGTAAACTTGAACTGCAAAGCTTCTTGCGCGAATAGGCGCAGCTACAGCTACACGGGTTTAAGAACAACAACGGAGGCAGGGAAACAAGCGACTACGTCGGTTTAGGAAATGACTGAGCGATGGATCTCGCAGAAGAAGCATTACTGCCAGATATGCAATACCTGGCTCAGTGGGCACATCGTGGTGAGTGTATCGTCTGCTGCGTCTGCACATTTGCTTCTGCGTTCCCTGGTTTAACTTCCTGCCATTGCATCCTGCCGATTAAAGTGCTGTTTCGGCTGCTGCAGTCCCGTCTCAGCTTCTGTACGGCGTCTCATGCGGCGTAGCTTTTTATTTTCTGCAACCTATCAGAAAAAAAGCTGTCAGTTTTCTGTGGCTGACGGCTTGCGACTTGTTCTCAGAACGTCAAAAAGCATGAGCAGTCCACTCGGCATTTAGAAAATGCACGGCAGCAATTGAAAGATGCGTACCAGCGGCATCAGGACAAGCAGAAGCAGGAAAGTTTGCTTCAGCGGGAGCTGCAGCGAATGGAAGCTGCTGCTGCTGCTGCCATGCGTAACGATGAAGCTCTTGTTGCATCTCGGAGTGGCAGGCACAGAGAGAACCTGAGAGAGACAACTAGCTGGGCGTGCGGCCCTTCACCCTACGATCAGCTACAGGCTCAGCGGGAGGAAAAAAATAGGATCCAGAACTTTCACAACGAGAGGAACCCTAAAAGGCGTAAGTCACTAGCTCGACTAGTTACTGCCTGCAGACTGGGGATGGTGGGGATCTTGCAGCAGCAAGGGTTTCTAGCATATGAAATTCTTTCCTTTTGTCGTACAACTCTGAGTTTTGGTGTATGTGGCGTGGACGCTTTACAGCAACTGCAACAGGTGCCAACGTTGACGGCAATAACAGCGATAGCACCAGCAATATCGCATACAGGAGCGACTCTTGGGAATTTGTGACAGACCAGGGACTTCCTTTTTTCCGAAATAAACTTTCTGGAGAGGTTTCATGGACACCACCACCTGGCGCCAGCTATGTTGCAGCAGCTGCTGCAGCAACTGCTGCTGCCGCAGCTGTGCCCGCCGCTGTGGCAGCAGCTGCTACAAGTGCTGTTCCAGCACGCCCAGCCCTTCGGATAATTTCCGTCAAAAAGCCAGCAAATAAGGAGCAGCCAGACAGGTCGGGTATTGTCTCGTCATCTTCTGCTGCAGCCGCGGATGATTCTGCAGCGCGCAGTTCTGTTGAAGCACCACGGGTTTCTAATGCTGAGGTAGCACCGTCTGTTGATGCCGTGCCCTCATCCGTAGCGGGAGCTCCGCCTGGCTCTACCACTTCGACGACTGCTGCCGATTCACCACTTGTTGCTACAACGCTGCCAGCTGCACCTGCAGGTTCACTCGCTCATTCTGCAGCAGCACAGGCAAGTATCAAAGCAGAAACCCGTGATTCATCAAGCGCTGACGGCGCAGCTTATGGTGCTGCTTCAGCTATTGACTTCGCCGATGTCCCTGCTGTATCTTCTGTCGGTTTGGTGCCTGACTTCATTCCGTCGGGATGCGGCGACAAGAACGAAAGCATTCCTCCCGACTATGTGTTGAAGAGTGGCCATAAGGGTGTAGGCTTGTATAGAGACCGGCCCGTGCAGCGCGAACATAATCGTTGCAAGGAGCGACACTTCTCAAGTGGTTCAAGGCTGCTTCATCGCGAGCACTTGCGACAGCAGCAGGACGCACAAGAGCACCACGGTCAACAACAGCACAAGACAACAGTTCGTCTTAAGCGCACTAGAGAGGAAGAGGAGACAGCGCCGCGTGGCCCGTCAACCGGTGCCGCTGCTGCTATAGCTGCTGCGGCAGCAGAAGCTGCGGCAGCTGCAGCAAGTCTGTGGGGAAACGACGAAGTACCAGCAACAGCGATTTCGGAGGAGGAACGCAGCAACGAAAACAGCATCAGAGCCGAGCCAACAGCAGCAACAGAATCTGTGGTTCACGAAGTGCCTCATCCTCAGGGCGTCAGAGAGAGCCTCAATGGAGCGATTGAAGAGGACGAGAGCCACAGCTTACTACAGGAAAAAGAAAAAACAAAAGAAGCAGCAAATGCCCCAACAGAAGAGAATACAGAAGCAGGTAAACAAACAATTCCTGCTGCAGAGGGCCCCACGATTGGCCCTTGGGTAGAAGCCAAGGAGGACGGATGGAATGCGATCGCTAGCAGGCAACAGCGGGAGCAGCAACTGCTAATGCTGCATCAGCAGCAAGCTCAGGAGCAACAGGAAGGACAGCAGGCAGATGATGACGGTGAGCGTTGCTTGTTGTGCTGTTAGCTTCTTTGTCAGTCCTCCATCTCCTGTGTAGAGTCTAGGGCACTTTTGGGAGCAGAAGGTTTAGATTAGTTTTTTCATGGTTTCATTTCATGTGCAGTGGCACGATTACGGCGACTACGGGCTCAAGTGAAGCGGCACGGTATCCACCATGACTTTTCATGGAGAAAGGAAGGAGAAGCGGCTTACGTATACAACACCAACAGCAGCACCGGCGGGCAGGGCATTGAAGTGAGGGACCGACGTGTTCCTCTGGGGCAACCCGCTTTTTCGTGAAGCTTTTACCAATACTTTGTTGTTTACGTGTCTTGCTTTCGCCTAATCGCTCTTTCATTTTCGGTCGGATTACCATGTTTATTTTCCTACCTGGGCATGGCGAAGCCATTCCTGCCCATGTTGATATTTCCCCCTATTCGTACGTGAAGTTTACACTGAATTCTTGACTTGCTCTCGCTTTTTTGCTCCCTCGTGTGTTTTGATTTCACCATCTCCGCCAGTTTGTCCCCGTTTGGTCGTTCGTTCTCATTTTCACAAACTTATGAGCCTGCATGGCTCCACTCAGTTGCTTTTTACTCCCCGCATTTATTCACTTTCTTGCAATGCGTGTCTTTTGTTTCCTCGAGCTCTCTGTCACCAGTACAGCATAGCTGCATGCTTTAATGGGGGAACACCTACATTATTACTTTGTTTTCAGATCCGCAGCCGACAACGCCCGGCGGCGTCTCGTCAACAAATAGAACAAACAGAAGAAGCTGAGTGACCGTCAGCCCTCGGTTCTGTCCAGTTTGCTTGAAGGATGCTCCAGACTTAAGGAAGATAGCCAGTGTTACCTTCTCCTACCACTGAGGATTCAGCTTCTGTCATTGAGAACATTATCGGTAAAAGCAAAAATAGCAGCAGGACGAGTAGCAGCACCAGCAGCAGTGGTTGCGATTGCAGCAGGGACACTTGCAGCAGTGGCTGCTGGCAGGCCAGCATGGGGGGTCCAGCCAGGTGTACGTAAAGTGCGCGTTGGTATTTGTCAAAGTAACCGTCTGTTCACAGCGTTTGGAGTTTATGTTTCACGTCATAGGCTTGGGTAGGTAAGCCACCCATGGGCACATGGGTTGCCAATGCATGAGCGCGTCATAAGGGCTTTGAGGCAGAGAAGTGAGCGAAGCTGGAGAAGGGGAAGCCAGTAGACAATAGGCACAAAGGTCAGCATACAGTACATCCTGTGGCAACGCGCAACTCCCCACGACGTAGCACGGCATTCGGAACCTAGCTCACGTGTCGCGTCAGTCAGAAAACTAGTTGCCTCCGTACATCTGCTTCAGTCTCGCAATAGGATGATCCCGTTTTTTGGTATGTCTTGTGTACTTCCTTATGTGCCGGTTCACCGAGTCTGTAGTTTCTAAGAAAAGTACGTCCAGTGTGCATTTTGCAGTATTTTGTTTGTGGCAGAGATGCCTCTACACGTGAAATGCATCACATACTTTAGTACAGCACAAGGCTGACACGAGTACCCCTGTGGGTACTGAAGACGCGCCTGAGACCCGCCGCGAAGACAGCAACAATAAGGCAACTCACTATACGGAGTGTAAGCCGTCTGTGCAACTCTTCACGCCTTTAGGCGGCTCGGTGTCTAGGAGCTACCTGGTGTTGAGGTAAATGCTTCGACGCAAAGTGCCTACCAAAGGTGGGAATGCAGATGGCTTGTAGATGAGAAGAAGCAAGGCCGCGAGGCCGAATTGTTCCTTAGTTTGTTAAGGTGTACATAGATTCAGTAGTTGGGCCAGTGTGCGTACCTTCCTCCCCGAACTTGCTACCTTGCAGCCGAGAGACCCAGAAGTTGGGCGAGTCGTTCGGCTGCGCGACCACAGCACCACTTCAGTGTTGTTAGTGGAAATGGGGACATCTCTCATGAGGTTCAGTGCTACTCCGCAGAAAGTAGCTCACTACGAGGGGAAGAAGGATTTGTGCGACTCCTCACGCATATGCCCAGGAACGGGTAGGCTACATGATTCGGGGGTAAGACGGCAACGGCGTCCCCGCACGACCAAACCGCTGGAGTGCCTCCCTCTCGTCACCCTTTCCCCACCATGGCCTCACTACACGTTGGATGCAGTAAGTAAAATTGACCGCTATCCGTGATGCTGCACCGTGCATAGGTCCAGCCTGGTTGGTGGGCGCGGTGAAGCCTAGAATGTATCACCCCCATCTCAGGAGTCCCAATTTGGGCCGTTAAGGACCACGAGCAACAAAGGTGTTATTTCAGGATGAGTACTTAGCTGTTAACGGTTGTCTCAGCTGGGGGCTTTGGTGAGTCCTGCCTGGGCTCTTCGATAATCGACAACGAGTCGATTCGGCCACCTGCCTCGCTCTGGTTCAGTGGATATCAAGGAATGTGCGGTACATTGGTAGAAGTACTTGCTTCATAATCTGTTTCTGGGCTTTAAGTTCAGTGGTATGTGTGTGTGGTTCGCTGCGCATGCACACACTGCCCCCAGCCGTTTTACGAGCTGAAGGGCAATCGGCCTATTGCCTCCTTTTCTTCTTCACCTTCCCGGCTTGTTTTATTTACCAGTTTTAAGCCAGAACTATCACTAACATACGATGCATCATACCACACGCGTTGAACTCATCATGCCGCTAACGATGACCCGGTGAGCGCTGTCGAGCCAGATAAGTCAATGGTTTGGGTGTGATTCTATTTTGTCTTTCTTCCACGCAATACCAGCGGCACCTTTTTGCCGCATCAAGAGAAACATCGCAATATGAAGCAGCATGGTCGCAGCGTCCACAGCAGTGGATGCTGGAGCCGCAGCAGTAGCCGCAGCAGCGGTGCGGACAAGTGTGCGAGGTCTGCTGATCTGAGTAGGAGCAGCACCGCCAGCACGACCACCGGCTCCACAACTTCCGGCAGAGGTACCAGCCCATACTGGAGTAAGTCCAACAACACGAGTGACGTACAGTGTGAAGAATTGATAAGCGCGCGACGCTACGCCAAGCGTACGCACAGTAGCGGTTGCTGTTGCACTATTGACAGCAGCAAAAGTGGCGGCAGCAGCAGCGGCAAAAGTATTTTGTTCAATGCTCTGCGTCACTACTGGGAAGTGGGAACTTCCTTCCGTTGGGGCTGCCGTCGGTCTTTGACTATAGGCGTCTCCTGCCTCTTCTACCTACTTCCGTGTGTTATATTGCCATACACTGGCGGCTACGGCGGCAGTAGCTTCAGAGACAGCACCAGAAGCAGCAGCAGTATCAGCGCTAGGAGAGAGGCGGAGTCATATCTTTGGGGTTTGGTGGCGGTGGCTTCCTTCTTGTCGGACTACGTATTTTCAGGTCAGCGGCATCACTGGTCTGTGCGTGCAGTGCATATGACGGACCGGTGGGTCGCCTCAGTTGCTCTTATGATGCAATGTTTTTACAATGTCCCATTCTGGTTTTCTGTTTCTCCGTCCACGGGGAGCTTGGGATTGCTCCTGGTGGTTTGCTGCTGTGCTCTCAAATCTCGCAGCACTTTAGCCACTTCTTATGCGGAATATGTCTGGTCACATACCGCCTGGCATGTTGCAGGCGCATCGGCAAGGTGCATTATGGCTTGCTTAGAGCCACAGTGAAGTTTTAATTCAGCTGCTACTGTAGCCCACGTGATTCTTGCGGCCGCATTTCGGGTTGTCAGGCGCTCCTGCTCCGGCCGAAAGGGTCGTCAAATAACTGTTGCTCCGACTACCATCACAGTTCGTCTTGCGGTGCACGCAGACACTACCTTCGTTGGCGCAGCAGCACTGCTCCGTGCTCCATCACTAGCAGGTAATCCTTTGCGAGGGAAGACCGTGCTGCAATAGCAGCCTCTTACGCTGTACATTCCCCGTTGGTTTTTGCAGCAACTGCAGGAGCAGCAAGCTGCACATAAAAGCAGCATATGTAGTAGAAGCTACACCTCATGCTGTTGGAGCTGCAGCTGACAGCGTCGAGAGACGCATAAGCTGCGACATAATGTACTTTTGGGACACGGTTCCTTTTGCTTGTTTCAAGAATTAGCTTGGGTGCATATGCGCCATAATGACGAAATTGCTCCATAAGTGGGTTGCTGCCACGTTTACGACGGGAGGACGGCGTTTCCGTGCAGGAGAAATATATTGGTTTTACTGCAGCGCTTAGTATGGATACTAGGATTGTTGTAGAGATCGGCTAGCAGCGGTCCGGGTCAATGGGCATCGGTTCTTGTCGGCTGAGCATTCACTGGCAGGCATGCTGACGAGCATGGGGACGAGGAAGCGAAAAGAGAGAGGGTCTTGACTACGCGTATAAGAGACGCTCAGAGGCGAACACACTTTCCGCTGCATGCATTCGTGAAGCCTATTGAGAGTCCTTGGACCATCGGTTCATGTTCTCCTTTGGTTATGGGCTACGCACCATCAATCTTTCTGGGATCCTCACTGTGAATCGCGTCTTCAAGATGCAATTTCCGCGTTACAGCTTTCTCATGTAATGCATTTGCAGTGATTCGGTATTCCTTGAACGGTGAAGTTACGCAGGAATTAAGGCTTGACGATTGGAGTCGAAACAAACTCTATTGGCTTGCGCCAGTGTACAACATGAGAATTTTGCTGTGTCATGGGTATTTCCGCATCGTAGAAATACCAACTAGGCGCGAAATGGAACCCAAGTACCGTAGTGAGAAACCTTATTGAAGCGAAATTCGTTAGCTCATGTAGACTCTGGAGAGCCTAGGCTCTTCAACAGCATCTAGCCCTTCGATTGCCTTTATTTGCCGTTGGTGCAGCAAGCAGTAGGAGAAACGCAGCCGCATCCGTCGCAGATAAGCGTCCCGAAGCTATTTTACGAGGCCTGCTGCACCTGCTGCCCCTCCATCACAAGGGTGCCATTCCCATGGTCGTGGGTAGCTAGCAGGCGCTTTGGTAGCCGTAATGGACGAGCTAGTCTGCAACTCATTGGACAGCAGCAAACTGAGCTCGAAGGTGCTGCTTCTAGGGCTATGCCTTCGTCGCAATGCAGACTTAAGGGCAACTTCGATATCACATTACCTGCGGCCACGCTTTTTCTCCTTTCAAAGAGGCGCACTGTTGCCCGTACCTCCTGGAGAGGGCCTGAGGGTAAGTGCCTCCAGACTCCTCTACCGGAGTTTTATGTGGCCAATGGCATCTCCGCAGGCTGCAGGAGCAGCCTGCGGGTCACGTCTCTTGCCGTTGTCATTGCCGCCTCTGAATATTGCTCTAAGCTACCCTATGGCTTCCATCTAAGCGCGAACACTCGCCTATCGCCAGAGATCTCCCGGCCTGCTGCTGAGGCAGCTGTTGGGCAGTTGCTTCATGTGTGTGCTGCTGTTCCATCTCCTGCCATTTTTCTGAGCAAGAAGTCTATAAGGTTGGCTGAAAAGCTGGTGGTGGGGCTCTGCACTGCAGGCTGCTGGAGGGTGTCTGGCTTCTCTGGCCGCACCAGTAAAAGTCAGCTATTCCGCTTCAGCCGAACAGCACTATGGGGGAGGCGAACCACTCTGTCACGCTTAGGACAACGACTGGATGCTGCTGCCCATAGATGAGGGGAAGTATGAAAACTTCGATAGCGTCACGTTTTAGAGCAACTCAGCGAATGCATGTGAATAGGGACCAGACCGCTGGTCTCCTATGACGAAATCCCGCACCTTGCAAGCAAATACTTGAGACCACCCCCAAACTAACGCTTATCCAGCGAGTCTCTAGTCAGTGCGGCGTTGCTCCATGAATGGCAGCACAAAGCTACGGCCATAAGACA